CGCGGAAACCCGTTTCATCAGGGAAACTCGCTCAGTCCGCTCGATCTCTAAACGCTGTTATGCAAATCGCAATAGCCTGCTCGGTTATTCACAATTCGGCCTGCAATCATAATAAAGGCCGCCGGTTTGCTTGCACGCCATTTGCAGCGCTGGGGAAGCCTGAGCACAGCGACTAGTATTACAACGACGGTTCGTTTGCAAGGTCTCTTGGGAATCCCCTCCCGGCTATAGGCCAACTTGCGCGGCGGCTTCGCGCCTGACCGTTCTACAATACAATTTCCGCTCGCGAGTCACCCTATTTGGTGAACCGTCTTTGTAATATTAGGATACCCACTGACGAACTGAGCGTCCGATCATGCATCGAACCGCATCGCGGGGGGCATTTAGGAGGAGGAAATCATGTCGCTGATACAGACAACGCCACACATGAGAGTGATTGAGTTGAACGAAAACGACGTTGCATCTCAGATACGATGAACCATGGTTCGTGAGCTTGAAGTTGTCGATGCCGCTCTCGATCAGATCTCCAAGGCTTAGATGCTTCGCCTATGTGAAAGCAGACGACCAGATAGCCGACTGAAGATGCCCAAATGTCCTTGCCGTGAGAAGTTTCAATTCACATGCCATTGCGAGACAGTTATTGGAACGGGCTACTACCAGCAGGCGTTGGCCACTGGTACGGATGGCCATGGAGGACCAGCTTGTCGCGGAAGACGCAGAAACCCATCCTCCAACGTGGACGCGCTACTCGATGATAAAGGATCTACAGCAGTGGAGACCTGACCTATGGCAAGATGGCTGAACGAATTTCACCCGAAGCCAAAAAAGCGTGGGATGAGAAATACGGAGACCTCAGCGAAAGAGCCGCACACCCACGGCGTCTAAGCCTGTTGGCACTCACAACTGTACGGCGGACTGTACGCTCTGGTGGTCACTACGATGAAGTACAAGTGAAGGCGACGTTCCTCTATCTCCTAGAGCAACTTGGGCAGGTGCTACGTACAGTTGGTCTCCTGACAGCGAATGTAGGAAGCCCTTGGGTTGAAGGAGCTAGGCCGGCACTCAGGGATATGACGGCTCTCTATCGAGAAATAGCTGAGTGGTTTGAACGGCAATTACAGGTGGATTGAACACGTACGCCTAGCATTACAACGACGGTTGGTTTGAAAGAGCTCTTGGGAATCCCTTCCCGGCTATAGTCCAGCTTGCACGACATCTTCGCGCCCGATCGTTCCCCAATACAATTTCCGCTCACGAGTCACGCTATTTGATGAAGCGTCGTTGTAATACTAGCAGCCTGTCCGAGAAACACGTTTGGTGATTTGTTGGGGGTATGATGGGGCGAGCATCAAAATGGTGGAGCCGATGATGAGCAAGACCTATCTGCCCTACGACCCAGACCAGCAGTTGCTGCTGCCAGCGGCGTTGCAAGCGTGGCTGCCATCGGACCATTTGGTCTATTTCATCTCCGACGTTGTGGAGCAGTTGGACCTGTCGGACATCATGGCCCGCTATGAGCGAGAGCGGCGTGGCGGGCCTCCCTATCATCCGAGGATGATGGTGAAGGTGCTGCTGTATGGCTACTGCGTCGGAGTGTCGTCATCGAGAAGGATTGCCACCAGGCTCCACGAGGACATTGGCTTCCGGGTGCTGGCGGCGAACAGCGCCCCTGATTTCCAGCACCATCTCGGACTTTCGCAAGGATCATCTGGAGGCGCTATCGGGGTTGTTCCTGCAGGTACTGAAGTTGTGCCAGCGATGGGGGCTGGTGAAGTTGGGCCATGTGGCGTTGGACGGCACCAAGGTGAAAGCCAACGCATCGAAGCACAAGGCGATGAGTTATCGACGGATGAAGGAGAGGGAAGCGCGGTTGCAGGCGGAGGTGGCTGAGTTGCTGAAGCGAGCCCAGGAGGTTGACGACGAAGAGGATCGCCGCTACGGCAAGGACCAGCGGGGTGATGAGTTGCCGGAGGAGTTGGCCTTTCGGGAGAGTCGGTTGCAGAAGATCAGAGAAGCCATGGCCGCATTGGAAGCGGAGGCTCGGGCGGCGGCGGAACAGGCGGCAGAGGAAGGCAAGAATCATCCTGGTGTGCCCGATGACAAGACCCAGCGCAACTTCACCGATGCCGAGTCTCACATCATGCCCGGGCCGGGCGGTCGGGACTTCTTGCAGGCGTACAACTGTCAGGCGGTGGTGGACCATGAACACCAGGTGATCGTGGCGGCGCAGGCCACCGACCAGGCATCGGACAAGCAACAGGCCGTGGTGATGGTAGAGGAGGCCATCGACAACACCGGCGCGATACCCAAGGAGGTATCCGCTGACGCGGGTTACTACTCGGCCAAGGCAGTTGAGGAACTCTACGCGCTGGGTACGGACCCCTATGTTGCGCCGGAGAAAACCCGCCACGGCCGGGTGCTGCCGCCCGCGCCCAGAGGACGGATACCCAAACAGCTGTCGCCCAAGGACCGGATGCGGCGGAAGTTGCTGACGAAAAAGGGTCGGGAACGGTACGCCCTGCGGATGGCGACGGTGGAGCCGGTCTTCGGCCAGATCAAGCAGGGTCGGGGGTTCCGACAATTCCTGCTGCGGGGACTGGAGAAGGTGAAAGGAGAGTGGTCGCTGATCTGCACCGGCCACAACCTGCTCAAGCTGTTCCGCTTTGGGGCCGGGTCCTCTGCAAAAGGGTTCGCCGCATAGTTGGCGAAGCCAGTTTCGGTCATCAGCAGCACACCGTTGGCCAAATATTTGGGGCATCAGCGCCGTTGACCGGAAATCATAGTCGTCGCCATCTGATCTCGGCTAATCCGCACAGCCCGTTAGCATTCCTCAGACGGGCTGCTAGCGGATCCCCGAAGGGAATTTGCTTGTGCGTTGCTCGCCGGCGACTACCCGCCGGGCTTCGTGAAAAGCCCCTTCACGGTCTATCCCCGCGCGTGCGGGGGAACCGGTAGCGGATTATGACGGATCAAGGGCTCCAGTTTGTCCAAGAACCTTTCGACGTCGCGCAGTCCGCGCTCCACTCGGCCTGCGCCGTACCAGTCCTCATAGAAGTTAGTGTGTAGACCGCCAGCGAGTTCGAAAAGCCGGTCGATGTCATCATCGCCGGCTTCAGCGGCGAGAGTGGACACCACGTCGTACAGCAGCGCATGGCCGCGGTGGTGCACCCCTCGCTGTTCCGCGATGGCCTTGACCATCTGTGCCGCGGCGCCCCACCCCTTCTCGGAGGCCTGACGCACGTCGCCGGCGGCGAGCTCTACCCGGCTCTGGGCCAGGAGTTCGCGGCTGTCGTTCCGGTACTTCTGAGTTGCCATGGATTCCTCATCTTCGTCGAGCAGTCTCCCAGCGCCAGTCACTAGAGCTTTTGGCTGTCCCAGCATAAGAATAGCACGTCAGAAACCAAGAGCCGTTGCGCCGGCGCCCGACGCGATTCTGAGCACAGCGACCGCAGATCGCGCCACCCGGCAACCGCCCTATCGATTGCTCTCATCTCCAGGGTCGTCCAGATTCAACCGCTCTTCCAGTCTTTCCAGGGTCTCCCGAGTTGCTCGCAGTTCACGCGCCAGGTCCTGCCGCGATACTGGCGCGCTTTCTTCCGTCACGCGCTCCCGCTTCGTTTCGTCCAGGCTGTTGATGATGATGGCGATGAACAGGTTGATTACCACGAACGTGCCCAGCACCACGAAACTCACGAAATACACCCAGGCGAAAGAATGGCGTTCCATCGCTGTGTCCATAACTTCAGTCCAGCCATCCAACGTGATGATATTGAACAGGGTGAGGAGGGACACCGCCAGGGTGCCCCAGTGTTCGGGATCATGCTCGTGGAAGAGATGGAACCCCATGATGGCGTAGATGTACACCACGATGCTCATCAGCATGATCACGTGGCCCACGCTGGGAATGGAGCGCACCAGCGCCGCCACAATGAGCCGCAGGTCGCGGATCGCCGAGATCAGGCGCACCACGCGCAGCAGCCGCGCCAACCGGGCAATCATCGCAAACTGGCCCGTGGCCGGTATCAGGGCAAAGACGATAACCGAAAAATCGAAGACGTTCCAACCGTCGCGGAAATAGCGCAGCATACTCGGCCAGAGCGCGAACATCTTGAGAATGGCTTCGACGATGAACACTCCCAGGGCGATCCGGTTTCCCAACTCCAGCCAGGGTCCGTAGACGCCGGCAATGGCTGCTGAAGTTTCCAGCCCCAACAGGACCCCGTTGCCGATGATGACGGCGATTATGAAATATTCGAACCAGTCGGAGTTGACCAGGCCTGCGGAATGTTTGACCAGTTGATTCATGAGACCGCGCCACAGCGTTGAAAGTCGCGCCCATTTTACGTCAGTTAATCCCCGTCTCCCCGACTGCGTGCGACACTGCCAAACGTCATTGCGAGCGCAGCACGGCAATCCCGTCGCCACCGCAAAGACATCCCGCCCCTCTGTCATTGCGAGCGCAGCACGGCAATCCCGTCACCACCCCCAACCGACCACCCCCCGCACCCACGTCGTCATCGCGAGCCCACCCACCCCACTGTCATCGCGACACTGCCAATTGTCATTGCGAGCGCAGCGTGGCAATCTCGTCGCCGCAGCAAGGCCCGCCCGGCAACGCGCGAGCAACACACCCCCGCTTGACAACAACGAACATGCGTTCCTATACTATCCCTATCACGTGAAATATCAGCAACCGCCAGAGGTCCGAAGGGTCGTTCGCGGCCAACCCGTCAGAACCCAAATCGCAAACCCTGTCCCGACGACCATCGCCCGCCCGTTTCTCAGCGGCGTGGTCATCTCGGTGACACAGCGATAATCCACTCGCTGCGTGCTGCACGACCCTCGGGTCGTCCACGGTTTCAGTGGTTAAAATCCTTGCGTAACCCCCGGCCGCGGGGCTGACACCGACCCTGAACCCTCTGGCAAAGCTGAACCAACCAACAACCGAAGCAACCAGTAGCGAGGCAGCAATCAACCGAGACAACCCTGGGAGAGACCCAATGGGAACAGTGAAAGTCACCATCGGAGTCGGAGACCCACAAGGACGGCGGTTCGAAGAACTCGAGGTCGTCGTGGACACGAGCTCAACCTACACGGCATTGCCCGGAGCAATGCTTAGGAGGCTCGGCGTGCCAATCCAAAGGTCACTCCCCTCCGAGACGGCCGACGGCAGGATCGTCCCGGTCGACGTCGGCCAAACCAACATCAGGCTGGAGGAGTTGGAGTTCCAAACTCCGGTCATATTTGCGGAAGAACACGAGCCCAGCCTCTTGGGCGTAGTATCCCTCGAACAAGCCGCCCTTGCCGTCGACCCTCTCGCGGGAAGACTGATACCTACCAATCTTCTACGGCTCTAATCGACGAAGCGAAAGTCCGGATCTGCCGTAACCGGCCATGTGTCCCCAATAGCAAAGCCGGGGGCAGAACAATTTTTGTGCAACGCCCCACCAACCCCCATAGGAGCCGGCGCCCTTGCACGCAGCCCACCACCTGGACCGCAGTCAACTCTACCTCGGCTACATCACCGGTGACGTCCGGGCCGGCGACTACCACCGGGCCGCCCGCGCCATTCACCGCGCGGCCAGCCATGTCGCCACCGCCGCCGTCCACACCCACCAGGACAGCTACAGCTGGCGCCGTATGACCACCGTGCTGGGCGGCTTCGTGCGCGGCTGCCAGATCGACTATCGACACCTGCGCACCTTCCGGGAGGTGTACCGCCTGCCCGCGACGCTTGCCGAGGCCAACGGCGATGAAACCGCCATCCGCGCCCTGTTGCGCCGCGCACGCCGTCGCGTCGAGCGTCTGCGTCGGGCCGTGGCGCTGGCCATCGCCCTGGATCCCAACCCGCTCAGCCTCGCGGACGTCCGGGCCCTCCGGGCAGCCGGCAAGCTCCCCTCCCGGCGCGAGCCTCAGCCCCCACCCATGACCACCATGGGCCAGTACCGTCGCGCCCTCGGCCTCCACGTCCCCAGCGGAACCGAGGACCACCCCATCCACTCCCCTTGCTGCCCCATCCGTTGACCCCATCCACCCCTGTCATCGCCAGCGACCCCCTGTCATCGCGAGCGTAGCGCGGCGATCCCGTCGCCGAAACGCGCTCCGTTCCCGCGAATCCGCTGAAAGGCCCTCCCTTGTCACCTCGAAAACTACAGCGACACGGCAACCTCTCCGCCGGCACCGCCTTCAACCGTCGCCGCCACAACCGCTGGCGCGTCATACGCGACCCCGACCGTCGCCGGAGCATGGCCAATCAGAGCATGGCCAATCAAAGTATGGCCAATCGGAGCATGCCCCACCGGCCGGTTCAGCCATCCCGACCACAGGAACACGATGAAGATCAGCAACGCCATGGCGACAACCACCGCCAGCGCCATACAACCGAACCGCGCCATCCCTAGGCCGGAATAACCGGTAGCCTGACCCTCGACGGATACTGCCCATTGTGCATGATGGTCTGCAACGCTGGCACGCATTCTGTGGCCGACCACGGGTCACCGCCCGTGTTGAAGTTCCGGTCGAACCTCGGGAAGTTGCTGCTGCTGATCTCCAATCGGAGCCGGTGCCCCGCCTTGAACACGTTGCTCGTCGCCACCAAGTCTATCGTGTACTCCTCAACCGCGCCCGGCGTCACCGGCACCGCCGCGTCCGTTCCTTTCCGGTACCGGCCTCGCATGATGCCGTCAACTAGGCTCCGCGCCGCGCCGCACGGTTCCACGTCCACCAGCTTCGCGGTGAAGTCCGTATCCGCCCCGCTGGTCGCCGCAAACAGCGTCACCGTCAGCGGGCCGGTTACCTCCAGGTCCGACGACAGCGGCGGCGTGGTGTAGCACAACACGTCGCTCCGCGCCTCGATGTCCTGCTGGTCGTAGGCGCCTCCCGGCACGAACGATGCCCCGCAGCACAGGGCCCCGCCCCGCGTTGGCGCCGGATTCCGCGGGTCGTACAGAAACACATCCGCCGCCTCGTCCTCCGGCGCGTCGACCGACAGCCCGCCGTCTCCCGACGCCGTGTTGGCCTTGCCCTCGCTGTGCAGGTAGTAGTCGGTGTACTGCGTCCGCGCCAGCGGCCACTCCTGCTCGCTGCGCCACTCGTTCGCGCCCATCACGAAGATTCGCACCGGCGCGTCGCTGTTGGCTCCGTTTTCCTCGCCCTTCAGCCAGTGATCGAACCACCGCAGCTGGACCCCGTCCGTGTCGATGGCTCCTCCGGCCGCGCCCAAACCGAAGAAGAACTCGCCGGAGGTCTCGCCGAACGGCCCGTGATGCCACGGACCCACGATCAGCCGCTGCCCATCCCTCGTCGTGGCGTTCTCCGCCTGCTTCCGCATCCCCACGAAGTTTCGCAGCGTGCCCAGCAGGAAGATGTCGTGCCAGCCGCCCATGTGCAGCGCCGGCGTGGTGATGTGCGGATAGTGGTCCTCGATCCGCCAACGCTTCCAGTATTCGTCGCTGCTTGAGTGCCGGATCCAGTCGTAGAAGTACCCCGCCAGCGGCTCCTTCAGGTGCGGCATTTCCACGATGGGCTGGTGCCGGAACGCGCAATCCAGCTCGTTGAACGCCGCCAGCAGGCCTTCCCGGGTTCCGTCCGGCACGTCGTGGCGGCTGCTGATCGCGCCCATGTTCGCCATGGTCAGCTGCCGCATCGTCCACGACAGCGCGAAGCCCCAGGCCAGCGCGCCGCCCTGGTACGTCCAGCCTTCGTAGTAGTCCGACGCCGTGATCCCGGGCGAGATGCACGTCAGCGCCGGCGGGTTGGTGATGGCGCACAGCCACTGCGTCGCGCCCACGTACGACCGGCCGAACATCCCGACTTTGCCCGTGCTCCACGGCTGCTCCGCGCACCAGGCCACCGTGTCATACCCGTCGTTCGGCTCGTCCAGGAATGGGTAGAACTCGCCCTCCGACGCATACCGGCCCCGCGTGTCCTGGATCACCACCGCGTACCCGTGGGAGGCCGCCCGCAGCACGTCCAAGCCGCCACCCACTCCTTGGAACTTGTCGTATGGCGTCCTCTGCAGCAGCACCGGCAGCGGATCCGCCACGTCCGGGCGGTACACGTCGGCATACAGGGTGACGCCGTCCCGCATCCTGACCGGCACGCCGAATTCGCTGCGGAGCGCGGTATGAGGGCCCATCAATTCTGCTGGCATAACGTCACCTCCCGTTTGGCGACATTATACACAGCCCAACTGCACACCCACCCATCCGCCATCGCGGACACCCCAACTGTCATTGCGAGCGCAGCGCGGCAATCCCGTCGCCATAGCAGTCCCACGCCCCAAATGCGGCCACCGCCGCCGAAGCCCGCCTGTCATTGCGAGCGCAGCGCGGCAATCCGTCGCCAAGCGCCGGCCTGTCAGGCCCGGCATCGAACGATGAACCAGCGGGCATTCCCGCCCCTACTGCGTCCTGAACTGCGGCGCCATCAACCCGACCTGCAGCGAAGGCGGCAGGTTGTTCCGCGTCACCTGCATCCGGCCCTGGGCCTGCAGGCTCCCCTCGGCCACGCCCATCTCCCGCAGGAACGCCTCCGGCCCTTCCGGCTCCACCGCCGAGGGCTCCCGCTCCGCCCGGTAGTGCATGGGGATCAGCCACTTCGCGTCCAGTTGCTGCGCCGTCTGGTTGATGGCCCGGTACGACAGCAGGTTGTGGTCCGACCCGCCCGCCGGCGCCAGTACCACCTCCGCCGGCCCGATCAGGTCGATCTGTTGCGCCGTCAGCGGCTGCGTGATGTTCCCCAGGTGACACACGTTGATACCGTCCAGGGCAATGGCGAACGCCACGTTTCGCTTTCTGCGCGGCGTCCCCTCGGGCAGCGGGGTCATCACCGCCCGGATGGTGATCCCTTGAAACTCGTACTCGCCGGGCGTGTCGAACACCCGTCGCTGGCCGCCAATCTCGCCCGCGCTGTTGTGCATCAGGTCGTCGTGGCTCACCGTAACCCCTACCGCGTCCACCGTCTGCCGGGGGTCCATCTGCACCCCCAAACCGCCCACGCCGGAGGCATACGGGTCGGTGATGATCGACAGCCCCGCGCTTGTCGAACGCAGCCTGAAGCAGGCATGGCCCAGCCAGTAAATGTCCATCGATTTCTACGCCTACTCGGCGCCCGTGTCGGGTTTCGCCGCGAACCGGTCCAGCAGCGCCCATCCGGACGGCACCGCCAGGCTCGCCGCAATGAGCTTCACCAGGTCACCGGCGATGAATGGCAACAGCCCGCACTGCCACACATCCGCGCAGGCCCAGGCCTCCGCCACGTTCGCCGGCAGGAACAGGTTGAGTTGGATCAGCCCTGGCACGTAAAGCGCCGCATTGCCCAGCAGCATGGCGGCCAGGATCCAGGGGCGCCGGTTCCATCCTCGTTGGCACAGCCAGCCCACCAACGCCGCCGCGGGTATGAACCCGACGATGTATCCGCCCGACGACAGCATCCAGAACCAGCCCGACGCGCCTCCCGCGAAGAACGGCAGAAACGACCCCTCCACGGCGTAGAGCGCCAACGCCAGCCCGCCGCGCCAGCCCCCCAGCATCGCGCCCACCAGCAGCACGGCGAACGTCTGCCCCGTGATCGGTACCGGGGTGAACCCCAGCGGTATCTTGATCTGCGCGAAAAGCGCCACCACCAGGCTGCCGGCAACTACCAGCGCTATGTCCCTGGCGATACGGCGCGCGCCAGCCGACTCGGGCAGGATCAGGTCCGCCAGCGTGCCCGGCAGACGCGGGGATGGTATGGGAACTGCGGTTCGCGTTTGCATTGCCCCAATATCCTACCACTCGCCCCACGCGCGTCAAACCGAACGGTTTGAACCGCCTCGATCCATTTTGCCGCGCCCGCGACTGTATCAAGAGTCTTGTGCCGTTGTCGCAGATGCCGGCGCGTCCGCGAGCTATGTGTCCGGCCGGGTGATCGCATTCCAACTGTGATTGCCCTGGTGTGTCCGGCGTTAGTGGTACACCATGTGAAATGTCCGGCATATAATTGCGGTTGTTCTCAGGGTCGTTAGGTTTTCCTGAACGTCATGCCCTGAAACGTGAATGTTATTGTGCGCGAAGCGTGGCAATCTCGTCGCCCCAGCGCGAGCTCTCGCTAGCAGCGGCTGCATCGCCTCGTTGCTGCCGTGCCTTCTTCCATTCCCGACGGCGACAATCGAATAACCCTGGTTGTTCCACACCCTGACTGAGACATATAAAAGGCGATGAAACGATGAGATTTCTGATCAATCGATGGCGTCAAATCGGCACACGCCTCTACTTGGCGCTCGTCTTCGCGGTGATTCTCACCCTCCTGTCCAGTGCCGTCGGCATCTACTATTTCGAGCGCAGCGGCGACCTCAGTTACCGGATCCGTTCCGAGTCCGCCCCTGCCGTCGACGCCGCCTGGGCCGCGGCGCTGTCCGCCGAGAAACTGCGGTCATACGGCCGCGAAGTTATCGCCGGTTCGGGCTCCGCCGCTCCCGCTCCCGCCCCGGCCCAGGCGGATGTGGGAGACATCCTGACCGAATTGGATGCGTCGCTGAGCCGGTTGGTTGCGCTGAAGGACCTGGAATCCCTGGCCCTGGCCGTCCAGGACTCCGCGTATGAAATGGCTGGCATTTCCGATGCCTGGCGGGCGGCGACCAGGCATCGGAAATGCCAGCTGGGGCGATTCGATCAAGTAGCAACGCTCTTGATGATATCGTCGGCCTCCTCGTGGACGGAGCCGGCCAGTACGCCGACGCAAACCTCGCCTCAACCGTGGGCAGCTTCGACCAGGGACGAGTATTGCTGGCAACCATCTGCGTGATCAGCGTGGTGGCCGCCACCCTGACGGCGTGGGTGTGGGTGGGCAACGGTGTCTTGCGCCGCCTCTCCCGCGTGTCGGACCGGATGCGCAGCATGGCCCAGGGAGACTTGGAGGCCCCGGTGCCCGAGGTCGGTCGCGACGAGATCGGCGAACTTGCCCGCGCCCTCGAGGTCTTCCGGCAGCACGCCCTCGAGGTGCAGCGCCTCAACCTGGTGGAGCGGCTCTACGAAGAGTTGCGGGAGGCGAACGACGAGCTCCAGACCATGCAGGCGCGGTTGGTGGCGCAGGAGAAATTGGCCGCGCTTGGCGAATTGGTCTCGGGCGTAGCCCACGAGATCAGCAACCCGCTGAACTTCGTGACGAACTTCAGCCAGGGAGCCACGGAACTCCACGGTGAACTCACGGCAATGTTGGATACCTACCGCGACGGTATGAAGTCTGAGGATGTCGCCTTGCTGGATGACATCACCAATGAAATGAGCGATAGCCTGGGTCGGGTGATCACCAACGGCGGCCGGGCCCTCGCCATCGTCGAACGGATGCAGGGCTTGAGTGTCGACACCAGGCCCCCCAGCCAGGCGAACCTGAACGCGGAGCTGCAGGACGCCGCTCGTGTCAGCCTGCGAGGGTTGCGACGTTGCTCCCGCGTTCGACCTCGACGACAACATCGGCTCGATGCCGATCGTCGTCGAAGAGTTCAGGGAATCGGTGGGCAATCTGGTCACCAACGCCTGCTACGCGATGAACCTGAAGAAAACGGAGTTGGGCGACAATTATGTGCCCGCCTTGTCGGTATCGAGCCGCCTGGTGGACGATGTGGTCGAAATCAAGGTGAGGGACAACGGGCCCGGTATTGCCGATGACCTGCGGGATCGCATCTTCGACCCGTTCTTCACCACTCAGGAGGGCGTAATGGGCGCCGGTCTTGGCCTGACCATCGCAGCCGATGCGGCGCGTCGGGCTGGTGGAGACCTGACGGTCAATACGGTGTACGGCGACTACGCCGAATTCCTGATGACAGTGCCGGTACACGAATCCGCGGCAGTGGACGTCAACGATCCGGATGACGATGCCTGGTGTTAGGTTTCTCTTCACGCCACTGGGCGAATGTCGGAGCGGTCTGGGCGCGTCACCTCCAGTCATGTCCGGAACCGGCGTGCAGCGCTAGGTCCGCCCGCAGCGGCCAGGCCCGTTCCGCCATCACGTTGAGCGTGTTGTCCCGGCGGGAAACCTCGCCTTCAATGACGACCAGCGGCCGTCGCAACACGTGCTTGAGCGTCTCCCAGCGTTGCTCCCAAACGGCCACCGGTATCAATCCGAATTCGTCCTCCAGGGTGAGGAACACGGCCTTAGCCAGGGGACGCTGCCGCCTGACTACCCTGCCCGCCACTCGGACCACGTCACCTTCGCAGCAACTCTGCAGGGTATCGCTGCTATGCACTCCTCTCAGTTCATGGCGCGCCAGTTCCATGATGTGACCATCCGGGCAGAGCCCCATCATGTCGTATTCGTCCAGCATTATCACCGACCGGTCCTTCGCAACCACCGCTGCCGGCGCCTCGGCTACCGCCATCGGCAACGCCAACTGGCCGCGGCGCGCGTCCGGCACGTAGCCGGATCCTATCTGCCACAGCGCGCTCCCCCGGTCGGTGCAATCCGGCAGGCGGTCCATTGCGCCGGCGCGCGCCAGGTTCTCCAATGCCTGGCGCGGCAGGCCCGAGCGCGCCAACACGTCCGCCAGGCTTCCGAATTCGCCGGCGTCACGCGCGTGCAGCAGGATCTCTCCCAGGCGCCGGTCCACGCCCTTCACAAAGGTCAGCCCCAGCCGCAGCGTGCGCTCGCCTTCAGCGGTGCTCAGCAGCTGGGAACGATTGATGTCGGGATGGGCCACCCGCAGGTTGATCCGGCGAGCGTCCTGTTTCAGCGTGTCCAGGTCCCAGAACCCCATGGGCTGCTCGTTGAAGAGCCCGACGTAGAACTCCAGCGGGTAATGACGGCGCAGCCAGGCCATCTGATAGGCGGTGAAAGCGAAAGCCAGCGCATGGCCCTCGGGAAACATGTAGTGGGGATTGAACTTCCCGAAAATCGCCTCGGCCGCCTTTTCGGGTACGTCGCGCTCACGCGCACCCTGCAGGAACCGTTGCCGATACTCCGCCACCAGGGCGCTGCCGTTGCGGCGTCCAAACGCGCGTCGCATCCGGTCCGCGTCAGCGGCGGTGAAACCGCCTATGTCCATGCCCAGCTGCACCACCTGGTCCTGGAACATTATCACGCCCAACGACCGCTCCAGGGCCGCTCGCTCCA